ACCTAGGGCTTCCCAGGTGGCGCTAGCGGTGAAGAACCCACCTGCCAATGCAGGAGACGTCAGAGATGCAGGTTCGATCCCTGGGTTGGGAAGATCCCCTGGAGGAGGGCACGGCAACCCACTCCAGTATCATTGCCTGAAGAACCCCATGGACAGAGGAGCCTGGCAGGCTTTGGTCCATGGGGTCACAAAGAGTTGGACATGACTGAAGTGACTTAGCCTAGGTAACCTACGTGGGTGCCAGGGCCCTCGTGCAAGATGCTCCTCATGAACCAGGCAGAATAAAAAGGAATTTCAATCTTTAGTCGTGCTTCTAGAAAAAGATTTCAGGCATCTCATTCATAAACCATAACAATCTTGTTAAATTACTTGTTAAATCTACTGTTTATTCTGAAAGAATTTCAGATTTGGAGACATTGAGGCTAATCCTGTGAGCATCTTCTTTCCCTCTGAATCCAACTCTCCACACTTAGAAACCTCTCAGTGACTCCACACCCCAGCCCACCTCCCCTGGAAAATATCCTGTTACAGCAAAAACAGAACTGAGTGAACAGCCTTTGGCACATACCAGCCAAACAGCCCTGGAAGAGTTACACAGTCTCGGTTATTCCTTAGCTGTTACTACTACTAACACACGCTTGTAGCTGGACTTGTCCATCATAAAGCTAGTTACTCTGACTCCATTTACATTATACACTGCACCTGACATCATTCTCCCCCCACCCTCTCTTGTAGCATTCTGCATTGCAGACAGAAAGTCACAGGCTGATAACTTCAGGGATACCAGACCCGGCTGCCGAGTTGCCCGATGCCAGCTGTGGTGGTTTTGAAATCTTGAAAAAGAAAAAAAAAAGCAAAACCTTCATGAGGATATAAAGGGGGGCATAGTTCTTGAGGACCTAGTCTGCTGTGTTCTTCCCTTGCCTGGCAAAAAGAATAAAGCCACTCTCTTCTATTTCCTCCAAATGCTGTCTCCGTATTTCTATTCGGCATCGGTGAGGGAGTCAAGATTTTTGCAGCCTTCCTAGCACCCAGCTTCCAGAAATTTTCAGTCCCTCTTTCTCGGTTTACTCTCCTGTTCAACTACTGCAGCCTCTGGGTCTTTTTCTGTCTGTTTTCTATCCTGTTTCTTCACCAGTTTCACCCTAGTTTTCCCTCCCATGGAATGTGCTAGAATCAGCTCAGCACACAAGCCCCTCCCCTCTCTTCCTGTCTCTTCCTTTCTCTCCACCCATTGCCCTGACTCTGTTCTGCATCATGAAAAAATGACAAACCAATAGGAAGACACATCCTCTTAGAGAGGTGGAGGAAGCAGGCAGAGTAAAATTCTCCCCTGTGGGTGGGATGACTGCTGCAAGTACTCATTTTTGGCGGATTGTGTCTGTTCATGAAAAGTGCCCAGTCTGAACATCACCGGAGATGCCCATGGCTGGAGGGATCATCCCAATTCCACAGGTCACAGTCCCAGGAACTGGACAGGGAAATTCTGCAGTGAGGTTAGATCTGCAGGAGACCTCTCCCCAAAAAGAGGATGTCTGCATGGCTGATCTTACCTCTGCTGAGATGTTGCCCAAAATACTCTGCTCACGACTCTGCTTTGCAATCTGACTGCCGGAATAACAGCTTCTGATGGGTATCAAGTGGGTGTGCATGAAGCGTGTCACCGTGTTTTGAACAAAGCAGCTGTGGCCACAGGAAGCTGTTCACCATGGAACACTGGCCTCCCCACTGAGGAGAGAAACCTCTTAGCAGTTGCCCTTCAACCAAAGCCTCAGAGCCACTCCTAGCTTCCTGCGTCCTGTGCCAAGCACTTCTATTTATCCAGGGATCTCCAGTTTATATCAGACACAGCTTTCTGATAAAACATCCCTACTCACAGACATTTCTCCAAGGAAGACATACAGATGGCCAATAGGCACATGAAAAGATGTTCAATGTCACTAATTATTAGAGAAATGTAAATCAAAACCACAGTGAAGTATCACCTCACACCAGTCAAAATGGCCATCCTTAAAAGTCTACACATGAAAAATGCTGGATGGGGTGTGGAAAAAAGGAAACCCTCCTACACTGCTGGTGCAGCCACTATGGAGAACAGTATGCAGCTTCCTCAAAAAACTAAAAATGGAATTACCATATGATTCTGCAATCCCACTCCTGGGCATATATCCAGAGAAAACTTTAATTCAAAAAGATACATGCACCCCTCTGTTCATAGCAATAGCCAACACGCAGAAACAACCTAAGTACTCATCGACAGAAGAGTGGATAAAGATGTGGTACATGTATACAATGGAAGATTTCTCAGCCCTTAAAAAGAATGAAATACTGTCATTTGCAGCAACATGGATGCAACTAGAGATTATCTTACAAAGTCAGTCAAATACCATATGACATCACTTATATGTGGAATCTAAAATATGACATGAACAAACAATCCACAAAACAGAAACAGACTCACAGACACAGAGAACAGACTTGTGGTGGCCAAAGTGGAGGGTTTGGGGAAGGATGGACTGCAAGTGTGGGGTTAGCAGATGCAAACTAGTATACATGAGATGGATAACAATAAGGTCCTGCTGGACAGCCTAGGGAACTAGAGTCAACATCCTGTGATAAACCATAATGTTAAAGAATATTTTTTTTAAATGTATATATGTGCATAGACTAAGTCACTTTGCTTTACAGCAGAAACTACTGGAACATCATAAATCAACTATGCTTCAATTAAAATATATATTGCCTGCTACTCTAGTAAACAGCGAATGCTGCCCACAATCAGGTCATCAGCCACTCAGCCTGAGGGGAATCGGATGGAGAAAAGTAGGATACTGGCCCTAGATAGTTAAGATGCATATCAAAGGAATCATTTCAATGAACCCTGACTCTTTCATCTTCCCATCCCTAGAAAATCACTAAAATCATTGAGATGTCTGGTTTCGTAATTAGCATTAACCTTTCGGTGTTGGACTATGTTTGTTTTTTTAGTGAAAACTCAATATACATCCTTGCTGCTCCCCGACCTCTTTGGAGTGGTCCCTCAGAGCGATCTAAAAGGCTGTACCCAGCTTACATCCTCGGTGAAGCCACCAAATAAAACATCATTCTCAACTTTCAGGTTGTGTGCTTTTTTTTCTTTTTTCTTTTTTGCAGTCAACGTAAGTCCCAGGCTTGCAGGCTGAACCTACTAACACATGGCCCTGCCCTCGACCATGCCACCTCTTCTGGAACTTACCCCTTTCTCACAACCGGACCTGTAACCATCTTCCTGGTTTAGGAATCTGCTCATTCAGGGGATGCGAGTCAGAAGATGACAACTGGATGTTGCCACAAAAGAAAACAAAATGGCTCGCTGTCCACACGGTACTCTCTCTGGAAACACGGGCACATCTTCACCCCGGCTGTGGCTAGGACATGGGACGCCTCTACAGAGCTCCTGCTGCACTGAAACCCCAAAATGTGCTGTCTCATCTACACCGAACACTGGATCCTGTCTTAAACAAAGGTGGGAACCAGAGTTGGATGAGATCAAGACTGTGTCCTGTGTACTGTGCATATCGTGTCGGTTTCACACTTTAAAACCAAGCAAAGCCCCAGGCTTTGCTCAGCTGCCCTCCAGAGGCTGGTTCTGGACTTGTTTCCCTCTGGAGTCGATTCTTCTCACTGATGCTCTCCTTCGTGTAGGGGAGGGGAAAGAGGGGGAGGTGGGTGGTGGGGTGTGCTGCTGTGTTCACTGAAACAGTAACCTAGAAAGGGGGGGCGGGGGCACATGGCTGGGGAGCCCTCAGCTGTCACAGGGGGTCCTTGCCAAGCACACGAGTCATAGCCATGAGAAGATACGGACTGACTCCTGGCCTTCCCCACTACCCTTACCCAGGCCCCCCTGACCTCCTTGGAGCCCCTGAACCAGGCCCCAACCCACAACCAGGACCACCAAATCCCTGGGCAACCCTGACCCCTGAGCCCCCCAGGGTCTCTCCTGTGACCCAGGCTCTTCCAACCCAAGCCCCCTGACCTGGGGGCCCCCACCATTTAAACTCATGAAAGGATGTGAGCTTAGATTTATTGAAGAAATTAACAAAAACCATTGGAAGAGGTCCTGGAAAAGATGTGACTGCTCACTGACCCACGAGGTGGCCCCTGGGCATCGGAGGCCCGGCAACCCAGCCCTGTTCTTCAATGTCTGCTCTGCCCACCCCCCAGCACCCCAGTGTCCACTGTGGGAACCGTTTCAAGAACACCCCTCGACAGAGCAGGTGTGGAGACCTTGGAGTGGCGTGGGTGTCTGAACCTCAGGAAGACCTCTCTCTCAACTCGAAGGTGCAGCAGGCAGGTGGGTGGTGATCATGCCCCGCAGCACCCCAGACAAACCTCCGAGGGAAGTTGGGGGGCTGCCTCCTCCTCGGCCTCCCTAGCTCTTGGGAACCTTTCCAGCTGGGAAACTCCCCAGGGTGTGAACCTAAAAAACTCAGGTGATAAACTTCATAGTCTTTAAAAAATATAAACCAAGGCACTAAATTACTGAGTGTGCATGTCAAGACTGCAGCTTGAAAGGAAAGTCACTGGGGAAGAACAGAGGAAAAGGAGGCTAGAGGTAACACACGAGTGGGGGTGGGGGGTGTCCAGCCTTCATGAACTGATGTTCTCCAGAACTAGCTTATTTTTCTTTCTTTTACATGCCGGATTTTGAACACCACTTTTCAACATGATTAGAATTCAGTAAGGATTACGGATTAGGGAAATTCCAGTTAATAAGAAAGTGGAGGGGGGTGCCCTGTTAATAACTGTCAATGCGAACATGTCAAATTGGCGGAAGCATGCAAAGCCAAATTCCCTAAATCAGCATTTGTTGTCAACAGCAAGAACTCAGGTGGGTTTCTTAATACCTGACAGCCAAACCACAGAAGTTGGTAACAACAAATAATCAAAAACTTACAAAAAACACCGAAAATTATTAACTTACATTGTATCATTACACATAATAACAGCCCCAGGTAATATTCTTGTAACAATTTATTTATGGATATGCAATAAAATATCTCCCCCCAAATCTTTCTAGAAATGAACAAGGCAGAAAGCAAAATATTTCTTTTTGGGGTTCCTTTGAGTTTTTTGTTTTAATGTAAACATGAAATTTCAAGAAATGATTTAAAAAGTAACAAGTGAACCTGTATATGTATTTTTAAAAATCCAATGTCAAATAAGTACATGAGGCTTAGATATACAAAAGGGGTTACCTGGTAAATGACTTACACATCTTAAGGAGAAATCAAAAAGCAGTTCTTTAACTTCAACTATAAAACACAGATTCAGTAAGTGTTTCAAATCCAGGAAGAATGTCTTGAAAAGATACAGTAAGAATTGCTATGAGGAGTGGGGGCTAGAAAGACTTCACTTGAAGCGACAGTGGGACACGTGGGGAGCATGAAGTGTCTCCACATGTGCACATAATCATATGGTTGACAGATGTAAAAAAGTTACACTGACACAAGCATGATCTCTGGATAATTCAATCCCTCAGGACAAGTCATACCATCAACATAAGCACCAACCAGGGAGTCCGTCCCATATATGTTTAAGAAACATATATGTTGGAGCCAGAAGATTCCTATAGGAATCCTGACTACACAGTGATGACCAGCAAGAAAATAAAATGCACACATACGGACTTGACTCTGAGCTAAGCAGTCAGATGTATAAAGTATGAACGCATGGAATTCATAAATGTATTCAAGAGGGAGCGCGGCTTCTAAATGGTTCTGTAATTCACACTTACAGCTTGCAATCAGGCATGTCTATGTATTAGTTTTCAAGCCAGACAATGTCAAGTTACAGTCATGAGCTTACACAATCACATACAGAAGTAACAAGAGATAACTATATTTTGAATATCCTTCACATATTCATTTAAAGTTTTGACTACTTGCTATCATATAGATGCCCATTAGCTAATAAGATTTTGTACATTTTACAGTCTAAATATAAAGCATATTATAATTTTAAAAAATTAAGAAGTAATACAAATGTTAATTACGGATTCCTGTAAACTTTGAGAATTAACTTTTAAAGTTCAGCAGAATAGTAGGTACGTAACAAGAACATTCAGGTGATCTGCACAACAGTTTAAAAGAGTGACTTAATGTCTGGGAATAATCCCCTTTAGTTTAAAATTTGATTTTATCACCATCTTAAATTCAGACTTTATTAGTGTGAACAGGGAAACACAAACCTTATTTTGTAATGAATGAAAGCAGAGACCATTGTCTTTACAGTGCAGTAACTAATTTATTATCTCGGGTAATCGAACAGGTAGAAAGGAAGCTGAGTACGATATCAAGCTTTTCCTGGAGGGTACTGGGCAGATTTGAACCTTATGAATCAATTTCAACAGAAGGAACTAGAAAGACTTTTTGGGGTACTTTGCAACCAATGTTTTCTATGCCGATGGCAAACTCTGTAAACAACTGTGCAAAGATGGCTCTAATATCATGAAGTTTTTTTCCTATTTCTTTTAAAAGGCAATAGTTAAGATATAAAATTAGAGTAAATGAAGATGTTAATATATTAAACAATTAATTTATAAACATTTAAACTTATAGATATCTTACAAAACAGCTCTGTGATAATAAAAATAATTTTTGCAAACATAAACAAACATGAGTGAAACATAGTACAAAAACGTCTCATAATGAGCATGTTAGCTGGGAGAGGGAAGAAAGTCTTAGACCTGAAATCTAACAGCTTCATAACATAAGATATTCCTAATTGTACTTCACATACATATTTTTAACACTGAAATATAAAAAAATTGAAAATTTCAATAATTCCTTATTTTAAGGCCATTGAAACAAGTCTCACATTGTTAAATGTTTGTGCTGTGTTATTTAGTCCAAGGATGTCTGGGTTAATGCATCACATCCATTCTGTTTTTTCCACCGAACAATACATTCTGTTGTGTTCTCTCCTTGAATTCACTAATAAAATATCAGCACTCAATGCCACATGTCACAATGTCTAGGACTCATTCATGAAATGGGAGGATGCTGATTTGCTGCAGATGTGGTCTGACTCCAAGGACAAATGGCTCTTGGGATACAGTTGCTATGACAATGTTGCTGCTAGGATAATTCCAAGGATCACAAGCAAAATAACTACACAGATAATAATGAACATCATTTTCTGCAAGATAAAGAAAAACATTTATTAATTTGCAAGATAGCAAAGGAAAGAAATCACTAATGTCATTTCTAACAAAATTCTCTTGGAATTTGAGATGGTTTAAAATCCATCATCAAGAAAGAGCCCCTACAGGTCATAGGAAAGGGAGGAGTGGGGAAGGGACGTTCCAGAGGCAAAGCATGAAGTTATAGACACATATACATTAAATTAAATGAATTTAGTAATTTAAAATACATACTATTAAAAGAATAACCAGTGACTCCTGCAGGTAAAACACAATGTCTACTTGGCACTATGTGGGTTCTTGACAAACACTCTATCGATCACAGTAAAATCCCAACTATTGTTTCTTGGATGCATTATACATCTTCTTATAACTTTAAATGGATTTATTTCTCATTTGCTGAAAAAAAATCTTATTTATGCTTTTTTTTTTACATTGAGGTAAGATGCATGTAAAAAATCAACACACCATTAACTCAGTCTTCTATTGCATCCTCAGCCCAGAGGAAGGCAATACAACATTTAACTTTTTGCTTCCAATTAACAAGCAGCCTTGCACAGCTGAAAAGCTAAACAATCTCTGGCTTTAGAAATCTAGTCTCTCTAGGAATACCATCTATGGGAGAAGGTGAGGAATTCACAAAGATGAAAGGCATATCACACTGTCTGACCTCGAGTTCTCTTGGTAAACAGCAGAGATGCATCATTTTAAATTACGGTTACCAAACACACGGCACACTTTCACCTGAGAAATCACAGCTGCTGAAACTGGTCAGTGCTGAGAACGCCAACAATCACTGCATGAGTTATGAAGACAAGCATGGCCAGGCCCCTCAGGAAACTCTCCTGTCAATTACTCAGAACCTAGGGACCACAGCCTGCAGGACATCACACCCTCACATTTCATGTCACTTATTAATATATGCACATTTCCTGGAAAGCCGAGGCCTTGGTCCTAACCATCCTGACATCTCTTCGTGTGTCTCACTGTGAGCCTCTCTCAGCATCTTTTTAGACACACCTTTTTCCTCTGGTCCATCACTCCTTCCTTCCCAGCAGCACCACCCTTCAGCTCCAGAACCTGCTCCATATGCCCCTGTTAACCTCAGCCACCAGGCGGCTCTGCATCTCGCTGCCATCCAGGCATCTGCCAGGTCTCTGGGTACCATGCATGGGTGTGTGCTTGCACATCTGGCTTTTGGAAATGCCTCCTGAATCCCACACCATGGCTGGGTTCCTGCACCCTCAATACCACAGATGGAACGACCATTCTCGTCCAACATCCTGCTCACAACTCCAGTCAAATGCCTGGACTTCTCCTTGGTGGCCCATGCACACCCCGAGTCAAGCTGCCACCTACTACACCTAGATCACAGCCACGTGCCCTCTCAGCCATGTCCTCAGATAGAAAACCGGGCATCGGGCCCTTGCTGCACAGTTACAGGGACCAGGATTCCCGCCACACAGTGCCCGCAGGCCCAGAGAAGGCTGTGCTGAACCACTTGCTGAAAGAATAAATTAGTTTTTCAAAAGTATAACTAAAGACAACAACCACTGCATTTGTATTAAAAAAAAAAATTGTTGGTATGCACTCTGATGTGTTTTGTGTTCACATGTGCTTAAAGGCATGAATATACAGCAGCCCCCCAGGACTAGGTGTATAGAGCAAGCCTGGGGCTCCCCCACAACCATACTGGGAGAAGCCTGCCCTCATTCAACAGCATCGTCACAGCATTTGATCTCAAATTATGTTTATCTTTAGCAGAAACACATCCAACTAACCATATAACGGCCACTAGGAAAAGCTAAGAAAATGCAGAGTTTATACACAGTTCATAAAGAATTCTAAAAAAGACATTATTATTAGTGAAGGAAAATCACATGTATCATTAGTTCAGCAGAGGCAACAGGAAAGCACAGAGACACATAAACGTACTGCCTGATGAAGAGAGTGCTCAGAGCTCCTTCTGCCTCCTGAAAAAAATGGCTCGCTAGCAAACTCAACATCCTGGAGCTTCCGAGTGAGTGCAAGCCCATGCCTCCGTGAATGTCAGGATCCTCACCTGCTAACTGTGTGCTCAGCACACAGATGCTCACACTAAGAAACACCTCTTCCTTAATAAAGCGCCAAGTGTCTATCAAGCCAGCAGCTGCTTTCACAATAAAATAACTAATTCATCAAGGACTACTTGTCCCAATCTAGATACAATTTGAATTCCAATGATTATGCCAAACAAACATTTTAAAATAAACAACTAGTATGTCCAAATTTGAGACACCAGGAAGCATGCTAGCTTGAGAGGTGAAAGAAGGATGATTCCAAATGCATAAAAAGAGACGAAAAGCACAAAATCTACCAAAGTTTGGTGAAAGGTGACCCTCATACAATGAATAAAAATAAAGGTGCTCTAAATAAATAATATCTTTTGAGTATCTTTTGTATTCCAAACCCTTTAAATTAAGAATCAACAGGCACGCTACTCAGTACAAGTTTTCATTTTAATGTGGACACATTTAAGACAAACTCGATGATGCCAATGGAAACAAATGAGACGAAGTCTCTTGGTTCCACTGAGTATTCTTCACAGCTTTTGTCCCATTCCCTTTAATTCCATAGTAAAATGGTGAGCAAATAAATAGCTCACAAAGCACGTTTGGTTGTTGCACTTATTCTAAGAATTAAAACTTAAGAGACAAATTAAATATTAAATGTTAGTTTTTTCATTGAGAATTAATCCTCATTACTAAAGTTATTCCACTAATGAGGGTCTCCAATAAGGAGGAAACGTCTTTCTGGATCAAAAACAAAAGCCCGAAGAGTCAGGGGCTGCTGCCACCCCTAACTATCACATCTAAACAAATCCAGAGGTTTCAGAAAACAGCAGGAAGACAACCCTGCTTTAGAAATGGATGGCAACCCAGTCAATGCTTATTCTCAGCACACGATGACTAGAGACCTGAATTCAGAAGTCAGGCAAACACTTCCCTGGCAGGATTTTGTTACTTTCCAGTATTTCTGAATTGGGTGAGCACCACTATTAGCTAATTGGGCGAGTAAGTAAGCAGATTAGTTGATTAGTTACTTACTGCCGTGTTGGCAGAGACATGCATGCTGCCGTTATCCACATCATCACTTGCCAACTGATAAACCAATAATTAGAGCAATCACAGCCAACAGAACCAGTGACACAGCCACAATTATCCACTTTTTCTGTCAAAGAAAAGCAAGCTGATTATAACATGGTTAATTCCATATTGCCATATTAGAAGATACCATTCATTTAAAAATCAAATAATCCATCGGAATGTGTTTTAAAATCTAAATTATGGGACAATGATTAATTGTTCGACAATTTTCAGTTGTCCAAAAGAGGGATTTTTAATTTAATGAGGTCAGACTATTTGGAGATGTACTATCATAGAACTTGAAATATTACCTTTTATCAATGAGAAAGCTGCATGACCACATTCTTCTGATAAATTTCTGATGAACTGAGACATACAGCTGATTTTTTTTTTTTCATGTATAGAGAGCTGTGTGGCTAGGTCAGTGAATTAGGAAATCAGTGATTCGTTTAATAAGCCCTACACTTTTCTTCTTGTTTGTTTGTTGTTGGCAGGTAAGTCCTTCACTTAACTGCCACACCAAACAAAACAGATCATTCCACTAGCATCATCCAGTCTCTCAGGGGCTAACCCGGCTGCCCTGGGAATAGAACCAGGACGCCACGAGAGAAGACGGCCAACATCTTGAGGACCACACACCCGACAGCAGGGTGAGAGATGAACAAGCTGTGGCTGGTTTCAGATGTCAGGCTTCGAGTTGGAGAAGTTGTGATGAATTTCGAAATGAGCCTCAGGTTCTGACCAGTGGCCACTCCAGGTAAGGCACTGACCCAGCCACCTGCTAGAGCGAGGCCATCTCTGCCAGATCAGGATGAGATGAGAACGTCTCACAGAAATGTTCACTGGTCTGACCTGCTGTTCAGGTCACGGAGAAAGGATGGGACCTGTCCTTTTTTAGTGACTGCTTTAAAGTATTAAGTCCATTTTGTGCCTAAACCAGAGTACTTCACACCTGGACCTCACCACCTCACTTTAGTTTAAGGCTCAATATTTCAAAATCTGGTAACACAGAATAATGTAAGAAACCATGTCTTACATCTCAAAGATAATTAATACACAGATATTCCCAGGAGAAAGCAGGGTGAGATGCTTTGCAGGCTGACATGAAAGCCCTGATGTGCCTCATATTTGAGAACATCTATGGACCATCGTCACGGGTGAATCTGACTCTTCATTTTTCCTGAACATTCTGACACTCCCTCTTTACAAGGCCTTTGTGACATCGCATGGAAATCTCCCCTGACAGGCACTGAGAAAGGCATCTAACAGCAGGAGGGAGGGTGACAGGCACTGAAAGCAGGGGTTTGGTGCCTTGGGTCGCTCTTCTCTACACTGGGGAGAAAGAAACCAAGACGTGATGGGCGAGGTCACACAGGAGATACACAGTTTTCCCGTCCCTGAATCAGAACTGAGTTCTGTAGTTTTGCTGTTTCCTTAGAAAGCTTTCACTATGAAGATATTAAAACTCCTTTACAAAGCTTCATTGTGAGTGCTACATAACATCTGAGGTCCATGGTCTCAAGCAATTCTCTTTCCTCCAATCCAAAGGATTAGCAAATAACCTAATGAATAAAGTGTTCACTGCATAAAGTGTGTAACCAATGATTTTTAGGAGAATTTCCAGTCCCGTGAGTTTTATATGTCCCTCCAAATAATGACCCAAGAAACAGAGAACTCTGGAATTGAAAAACATTCAACCGAGGAAAGGGAGGTGGGGCCAACTTTGGCAACCCTAGTAAGGGTTATCATTACTTAGAACTGACAGGGTTCACCGTCAACATAACTTCAAACATTTCAGCAAAAAGAATTACTTCAGTTTTCAAATGCAAAATTAATGTAAGAAGTGTTTATTTCCTGAAATACATTTAAGAAGGCTTGCATCAGTGTATGACCATGTAAAACCAAATCCAGAGGAAAATGAATTTTAATTCTGAAAGACCAAACTCACCCTTCTTGCTTTGCTTTGATATTTAATAGCTTTCTTCGTTTCTTCTTTAGCATGTTCTACATAGTCTGCGGCATTCATAACATTTTTTTCTATGTTGTTGATCATTTCACCCTTAAAATGAAAAGTTTCAAACTTAGAGGACACTTTCAAATGACTTAATTGTGCCTCTTAAAACAGTCAGAGAGCAGGAGTAAAGTTTCCACAGGAACGTAATGTGCATGGAATGGACACTGAAATATTTTTCACATTTACAAAAAGATGAGACCATTACAAATGTGCCAACATGGAAAGTAATCAAAATCCAACTTACTTTGTAAAAGAACTAAAAGGGATGGGCAACAATGCTGACAATTAAAGGCATATCAAGTAGGCTTTGAGATATGCTTTAATATAGGAACACTTTTAAAATGGGCACAGTGAATGAGAGGCAGCTGGCTTTAGGCTAAGCTAACATTTACTATTATGCACATATGACGTACAAAGAATGACTTCTTTTCTAATGGGTAGACAATATTTGTCATTTCTTTAAAATACCAGTAAACTAGGAATAGTTTATGTCTCTCATTAAATTGACTAGATTAATGAGCAAAAAAATGTAAAGTGAGGTGAACGCAGTGAGGCGTCAGGGGAGAAGAGCACATTACCTGGTTTTCTGTCCACCAGCAGACATAATCTGCAGCAGTGAATAGCAAAGCATTGGAGAGTGACGCAGAGTTAACTTACTCATTCACGCATTTCAACATACTAGTCAGTTTTGACTAAACATATTTTGAATTAGATGAGTCAACACAATGCAATACTAACAGACTTCTGAAAGGAAACAATGCAACGAAGCTAAGAATACAATGATATATCAATTTTTCTAGTAGAGATTAACACATCTGGCATACAACAATCCTAAGTAAAAGTCCAAGATACTCTAAAATCTTTAGTAATGACAAAAGTACTCAGATTGGTCTAATTGTCTCACTGGTTTCCTTTCTGAAAACAAAAGCTGGCAGCAGCCAGACTCCCAGTTTTCCCTTTTGGCATTGTGAATGGCAACGGGCGCCCCCAAATCAAAGGAGTGAACCTGCCCCATCCCCACCCCATCTGCAAATTCATAGCACCTCAGCTCCACACACATTTTTATGGCAAAGTTCCTGAAGCTAAATCTTCAAAAGGTAGGTGGCGATATGGAGGATGAATCTGGTATCCAGATGGACTTCCCAGTGCTCCCCAGGAAACCGGCAAACAGGCCCATCAGAGGACAGTTCCTGCCACAACAGATCCTGCATCCAGCCTCCGTGGGAGGGAGGACATGACTGTGATGTGAATCCTAAGATGCTCAGGTACGAAGGCTTTGCCTTCACAGGGCAGTCAGCTGGACTCAATGGCCCATCGACCCATGAGTGACCAAGTGTGAGCCTCACACACTTGAAAAGTCTGAGGACATTATTCACCATCACAAGCGGAGGGGCAAGCACCCCCACACACCTAACTGGAACCACCAGCTGTATTTTACACTGAATTTTATATTCTTTCTGTGTGTATGCGTGTGTTCTTTTTTTTCTGCTTTTAATTGGAGGAAAACTGCTTAACAAAGTTGCTTTGGTTTCTGCCGCACAACAATGCGATAATCAGTCATAATTCTATATGTGTGTTTGTGTGTGTGTATCCCCTCCCTCTCGAGTAAATTTCATCTTCTTAAAAAACTGCATTAACTTCCGCAGTCCCTCATAGGGGTCTCCTCATACCTGCCACCTTCTGCTTGTGGTACTGAACACTGTAGTAAGTAAAAGCTTTTATTTATGTCACAGTCTATCCCCTCTGGTGCTATTCTTTTATATATTTCTCCAAATGATTACTCTAATATCTGCTCCTTGTAGAAAACTTGAAAATATATTTTAGAGGAGAAAACTAACATTCCCATAGTCCCACTGTTTCTATACTGCTTGGCATATTTCTTTCCTTCTGTGAGGACTGTTTCAGGTAGCTGACTTTATGCCACACACACACATATATATAGGAGTATAAGGGTGTATGCTGCATATATATTTACATTTATACATAGAGGTGTATATACACATATGAAGTGAAGTAAAAGTGTTAAGTTGCTCAGTTGTGTGTGACTCTTTGAAACCCCATGGACTGCAGCCCACCAGGCTCCTCTGTTCATGGAATTCTCCAGGCAAGAACACTGGAGTGAACAGCCATTCCCTTCTCCAGGAGATCTTCCTGACCCAGGGAGCAAATCTGAGTCTCCTGCACTGCAGGCAGACTGTTTACCATCTGAGCCAGCAGGGAAGCCCCATATATATATACACACATACACACATACATATAAGGTTTAATATTGCCCTCTTATGTCAACTTAAATTCCAGCACATACATTTGAATATTTCATTCAAAATCTTCCATGAACAAAGTTTATGTTGTCTACTTATGGTTGCTTAACACCCTATGCTATGGACACACCATATCTTAAATCAGTCCCCTACTGTTGAAGATTTAAGGTGCTTCGAGCATTTGAGCCTTACATGGCAGTAACGGTATAATCAGTTTTTGAATTACAAGACTGGATCCAGAATAATGGCTTTCCCGATAGACTGGAGTGAAATATCAGATTTTACAAACCATAGCTCTCTGTTTCAGAGAAGCAAAGATGCATGTGATTACCTGAGTCTCGACGAACATGGCCATGTCCATGAACATCTCATGTAGCTCACGGATGCTCGTCTCCAGCTTCATGATGTCTTTATGACGGGACTCGATTTCATTGAGAGCCTGTCTAGTAATTTGTGAATCTGATATAATCTTTGAAAAACAAAAACAGAGGAGAAATACTGATGAACTTAAGATCATTCTAGAGGTTAAAGAAAAAAAAAATCTGTATAAATACAAACATGCGGGCCACACAGCCGCCCGGCACTCACATCTGATGTGAAGATGGAGGGATTCCCACTTTCCAGCATCTCTTCCAGCTCATCATCGGTGGTAGTTTTTCCAGCTAAAATATCAACAAGGAAAAACTCCACTCAGTATGCAGCAGTAATTTTAAATTACCTTTGCATCCATAAGTTAGCAGGTAAAATCTGAGTTGCTAATGTTTTAACCAGTGTTTTTCTATCTTTTCTAATATATTTTTTGGCAAGTATTAATGATGACAGAAATTAACATAAGCCCTTAAGAAGCAGGAAGAACAGGAAAACATTCATGAAAAACCTTGTAACTGGAATGACTAATAAAAATCCAAGTTTAGTATGAATGAGAAACAACTATAAAAAGGAAATTGCTAAGATACAAATTTTTGGCATATCAGTTTTCCTAAAAGTTTAACTGGCTTATAGGAAAGGAGGGTAAGCTAGACTTAGCATATGTTAACTGGAAATAATAAAGATTGTATAACTAGAATCAGAAACTCTAATATTTTCTGTATTTTGGTTATTAATATTTCTTCTTGATTTAAATGTATTAATGCTTCCTATGAACAAGTTCACAGGATTTTGGAAAAACCCAATGGATAATTCCTATTTTCACACTGTGCCACAAGAGACAAAATTAAATGAATAAACATCATAATAATTAAAATATAATTTAATGTGAACATTCACAACAGTATTATTCATAATTATCAAAAAGTAGAAACCACCCAAAGGTTCATCACTTGATGGATGTATAAACATGTTAATATGGTCCATCCACACAATGGAATGTGATCCAACAACAAAAAGAGATGAAATACTGATGTTTGCTGCAGCATGGCTGAACCTTGAAAACCCTGTGCCAAGTGAAAGAGGCCAGTCACAAGAAACCATATATTGTATGACTCCATTCATATGGATGCCCAAATGGGCAAATTCATAGACAGAAGAGTAAACTGGTGGGTGCCTGGGGCTCTGGGGAGAGAAATGGGATGTGCCTGACATTGGGTGCCGAGTTTCCTTTTGGAGGGATTAAAATGGTCTGAAAGTGACTGTGCTAATTTACATACTAAAGACCACTAGACTGTACACTTTGAGTACTGTTCACACGGTATGTCAATTACATGTCAACAAAGTCAAAGTGTCACTGAATGAGGTTCCAGTTCATGGCTGCTCCCTTCTCTCCAGGCCCACAGGAGACGCAGAGCAGTCCTGGTCGACACTGCACCCACCCGAGGCTTGTGTTGCAGCTGAGGGACCCTGATCTTTCACAGCGGGGAGTAAGCAAGCCTGCCTGACCTTTGTTCAGCAAGCAAACAGCCTTCTGCCCAGAGAAAAACCTGAGTTCCATCCTCCAAGGCTGCAAAGACAAACATCCTAGGAAGAAAGTCTGGAGCAAAAGGGCAGGAAGTGTCTGCTCACCAGACATGCAGAATCATGAGAACCATGCAGACTGTCCCCTGAGATGGGGCAAGAAGGGGTGCGGACACAAAAATTACATGAGGAAGTGACAGCTGGAAGCTTTCCAGATCTGATCAACACTTTACAGGTAACAGTCATCAGAAAGTAATTTAAAGTCCACTCACTTAGAATCTGCTGAAGGACGTAAGTAACAGGTTGGCTGATTCAATGAATGGGAAGCTATGAAAGGACTTTACGTTTTACAATACTGATAAAAACAGGGATGAAATTACTTTTTTGATGGTACATACTTTCATGTCAGACCTTAAGGGAAAAAAAACCACGTTTTTAACAAAAATAATATAGTCACTGACTCACTTATTTCTAGCTGACGCTGTATACGGCCTTTGCTTCGCTCCCGAAATAGAGTCTGTGCTTCGTTATATTCTGTCATGACTTCCACAAACTTTCGAGATAGCACTGAATGCTTTAACATAGAAAAAAAACAGACCAATGTATAATGGTCATTTCTTCTACTAAAAGAGAAAGCTTTTCACTTACATATAAAAACATTACATTCTATAAATTCAAACTAATGTGCTGACTCCTTCAAATGGGAAATAAGAATACAGCTTACCATATACTGTAGAACAGAATCTATGCTAAGAACTTTACACGCATAGAACTTTGCGTTGTCTTCTTTGATTTTCAGTAACCCTCCTGTACTATTAGTGTCCCTCATTCTACAGAAGGGGTGAAAACCATCATTACGAGAAGTCAATTGGCGAGTGGTCACAGGCTGACTGGGGTCAGGCTGGCACTCAAGCAAGGCGTCCCCAGAGTCTGAACCCATAATTGTCATTTGTCAAGTAGAGTTAAGTGGGCTAAATTCCACTTTGCTGTACCATCAGACTCTAAACGGTGAGGACTTCATCATGAACACTAAAATGACTCAGATAATTCTCTGCTCTTCAGAATAGATTTCTGCTGATGGGCTGGAGAGACTTTTTTCCTTCATCATCTAGAAAGGGAATCTATAAATACTGTCTTTATGCAGAAATGCTGTGAGCATTAACGTGACAGTAAGGATGTAATTATTCTGAATTTTAAAGAAGGAAGTAAAAAGACTTCTTAGTCTTCAACACTGCCCCACACTAGAAAAGGCTGATCATCAAACCTGGGTTCTTCGGATACGAAGCTCCACAGAAGTTCGGTTTCCACCCTCATCCTGATCAAAACTCTGTTCAATAGCTAGAAGCAAAGAGGAAGGAGTTACTTTTTAATCTTAACAAAAATGAAAGGTTTTCAAGCCTAAACGCAAACGTATTTTATCTTTCCAGCTCCTAATAAATGTGTGAGTTCTGGTGAGCATCAGTTGTTGATAATGTCACAAAATAAAACCAGATGTTACAGCTTCACATTTCAAAGTGGATAACCTGAATTTGATCTAGTTTGGAGAACTTAACTGTCCATTAACAGGGAATACAGAGTATAGTGAAAGCTGTTGAGTGACATTAAAGGGATGAAATCAGTGAAACTCTGCAACAGGGCAACTTCTGATGAACTAATGTCCTGGTTTCTCCAACCAAGAGGGAAACGTGCTGGGAGTGGGGAAAGATGGAAGAAGAACCTGACCTGAAAAAAAAGCCTTAAGTGACATAGCAACCAACCATAGTGTATGGTCCAAACAAGAAAGCCAATTTAAATAAACTGTTGAAGAAAAACTAAAAGATCACTGGGAAAGTGTGAGTTCTGACTAGACAGTTTATAATAACAACTAAGGTGACTTAGATACATACAAGAGCATTGTAGCTGTATTTGGCGGAGGGGATCCTTGTTTTAGAAACACACACTGAAAACTATATGCTGATGAAATCCGAGACATCTGCCAGCGGTTATGAAACCAGCGGGGTGGGGTGGGGGCCACTGAGACCTGCAGAGCTGGTAAGTGTGGACTCCGGGTTTGTGGTGGCAACCCCTTCCCCCCATGTATGTCTGAAACTTTCCATAATAAAGGTTCCCTGTGATCATCAGATATGTTCTTGATTTGAATATTATTTTGTAAAAATTAAACACACTGTGTCTTTCTGCCACATCAAGAACCACCACCTCTGTTTAAGTCCCGCAGGGAGGCCGTGGGCACTATCAGCTGAGCTGAACTGGAGGAAAGGCTCACAGGACCTCACCAGCTACAAGACCATTCAAGAAGAACCTGGCAATTCATGTTGAAGGCTACCTACCTTCTCAAGTATCTATAATTTAGCCCCAAATGTTGTAACAATATAAGAGATAAACAGTTTATAAGCAAGTGCTCACTCCTGTGGAACATGAATGAGTGCCTCACTCCAAAATTTAAGTATTAGTAGGCCTTAGCTCTAGCTCCTCATGTGTGATCCTTAGAGCTGGTAGCTTAAGAATTCTAGAATAATGAGGAACTTAAGCAAGGCTCACTATTCCAAGCTCATACAAATGATTTATTTTACAGTGGTCACAATCTTAACTTTTTAAAATGTAAAAGAATAAAAAGTTATAAAGAAGAAAATAATAATACCCACATTCCCACCATCAACAATTATACAAAATTAAAGCTTTAACTCACACTTCAACTTAGTCCGAATTTTATTGGCAGTTTTCTTGATTTCTTTGTTCAGATCTTCAAGCTCTTCCTTTATTTCTATTAATCAGAAATAAAAAAGACATGTGAGTTACAATATCCAACATCAATAATGTCCAACAAATGTAAACGGAACAATATTTTTGGTAAATATTCAAGTTTATTGGGTTTTTCTTTAGAGAAACTACTGATCACACCAGTGGTTCTCAGAGGGTGAGTCCTGGACCAGCAGCTTCGGTATCAGGTGGGTGTTTAGTAGAAATGCAAGTTCCTGGGCCCCACCCCTGACCTACCCATAGGAACCGTCACTGGATGGGCACAGGAATGTGATTTAAGCCCCCCAGCTGATGCTGGTGCACACCTAAGTTTGAGGACAGCTGGTTTATACCAATCAGTTGAGGAAACAGTGCCCTGAATCCATTGCTAACATCTAGACCTGAAAAAAGAAAGCAGAAATTTAACCATATTCTTGTGTTGAGCAGGGAGCCTGCCACATGTTTGCTTTCTTTCCTGCTATCCTAATCAAAGCTGGCTCCAGGCTGGGGTGTGGATTCCTGCACTGGGAGAACAATCCCAGAGGCCCCACCACTGCATGTGGGGAAGGAAAGTCGAGGAAGGTGTCCAAGAGGAAGAGCGCAGGAGCAGGAGGGTCTATGCAGGGTCTGCCCTGCTGAGGACACGGAGTCAGGGGAGCAAGCACCCCAAAGCATGGCTCACCTCTCTAGAAAAGAAAGCCCCTGGGTTGGGGGGCCATTCAGGACGGAATCACTGGACCTTCCTGCTAACACAGGCATGCAGGGGCTCAAGCATTAATTAGAGAAATAAAAGAGGCATTCCTGTACTTAGCCCTTCAAGCTACAGAAGCAGGCCATGAGGTTATACTTGATAAAGGCAGGATTTCAATTCACAGAAAAGAAGGTAAAGATGAGAAACGTCCTTATCCAGTGAACTAGGTCATTCCGATCATTCTCCTACTGAGAACAATCAGAAGACTTGGACAAAACATTTTTTAAAAATCTGCTTAAAGGCATCATAAACCTACAAAAGCAGAAAAAGAAGATTCAAGAGAAGGAAACCCAGAGATGTGAGCCCAGCGAATGGAGTGGCTTGACAATGAGACAGCCAATGCTTTGAGCAGCTGCGAAAAACCAGAGCTGACACAAGGCCACACCCCGGGAGAAAGGGGAGCCAGGTTGAGAATGCTAGCGCCCCCAGCTGTCCATCAGAAATGTTCAAAAATCATCTCTTAAAAAAGAAAAAACTATCCTAGGACTCACACTGTGGCTCCGAGCCTTCACATACAAAACCCAGTGCTCAACTGAAAAAAAAAACCAGCAAGACGGAGAAAATAAACCCCAGGAAAACAACAGAGCTGTCTTAACAGAGTTATTAGACACAGACCTTAAAATAAGCATGTTCAAAGAGGTAAAAAAAAAGATTGAGGATTTTGTCAGGAAACAGGACAGGAGAAAAAGGAGCCCAGCGAAATTCTAGGACTGAAAAATATTTTAACCAAAAATAACTCCATGGGTTAAGAGAGATTCCCTGACCTGAAATGTAATCACTAAAGAGAGGTCAGGAGACAAATCAGAAAGATTTCAAAATAAAACACAAGACAAAATGATGAGAACAGAGGGCAAGCGGCATAAAAGATACAGTGAAAAGGTTTAAAACTCATATAATTGAAGTCTCAAAATAAGAAATGACAGAAAAGGGAGGAAAGATGACTTATGAAGAGAAAATAGCCAATATTTTTCCAAAACTGCCAGAAAATGTCAACCCACAGATCCAAGAAGCCTTATAAATACAGTATAAATAAAAAGAAAACCATATCTGGAAACATGAACACAGCATTGATAAATCCAAAGGCTAAAAATTAAATCTCTTATAAGCTCTAATTAGATAGCTGACTTAAAAAAAAAAAAGACACTGAAAATTTATTTTCAAAATTTTCAAAGTGGTGAAAGAAAACAACTTGCAAACTGGACGCCTATGCTCACTGAAAATATCCTCGAAGAACAAAATCAAGTAAGGACAATTTCAGACAATGGCATAACCCCAGCAGAAGAAAGAATAGTAGTTTTTAGAAAGAAGAAAAAATCTCAGATGAAAGTTTAAAGATACAGAATAATGAGTAGCATTGGTACAGGTAAATATGTGGGTAGCTCCAAATCTGTATTAATTGTATAAAATAAAAATATGTATTATTTTTATCTAGTACAATACATATATATGATGATGATAATAGCAATAAGAAGAGATAGTGTTAAAGGTCCCTAAGGTCTTCCTATTACTTGGAAGTAGTAAAAACATAAATTTATATTAGATTTCAACAAGTTAAGAATGTATACCACAATCTATAGGACAACTAATAAAACAACAGCAAGCAGAATATAGAAATGAGCCAACGAGGCAGGGTAAAATTCTTAAAAACCAATCCAAAAGACAGCATGAAGAGAGAGAAAAAGTAACAGAACAAGCAAGAAAAATATAAAGCAAACAAGATCACGAATGTTAGCCCCAATATATCGATAATTCCAGTAAACAAACACTACAAGAGTTAATGACAGACAAAAAAAAAACTATCAAAGGGGCCAAGAAGACAAAACCAAACTACATTTGATAAATAAAAGATGAGAGAAACATCTAAAATAAAAGGATACAGAAAGACAAAAAGAAAATGATGGGCAAATATACATCATGCATACACTAGTCAGAGAAACTGGTCAAGCTTTGTTGGCTGATATCTGGCAAGTGGTCAGGAAGGCACAGAGCATCAATGGAGAAGAGAGGGACCTTTCACGTGGGAAAAGGTTCAGTGCACCACCGAGACAGGACAATTCTAAAGGCATTTGTGTCCAGAGGCTTTACCTGCCTTGGTGTCTAGAACGGACCCTGGAAAGAGGGCAAAACAGCTAAAGGATATCAACTCAACAATTCTTGACTGAGAATGTGGACTGTGGCTTAGACAGCATTTTATCCACATTAAACATTCTGAATTAGGTCACTATACTGTCTGTTTATAAGAAATATTCTTCTCAGGAGATAAATGCTGCAGTAATTAGGGGTAGATGGTCACAAGGTATGCAACTCACTCTAAAATGAGTCAGCAAAAATAACATGTATGTGTATACACATGTGCAATGTGAGTATGTATACGCACTCACATGTACACAAATACACACACAGAGATGAAGCAAATGTGGTGAAATGGTAACAACTGGTGAAGCTAGGTGAAGGAAATATGAGTTTTCACTGCACCAAAACTGCAACTTGCCCACAGATTTGAAAAGTTTCAAACTAAAAATGGGCTTCCCTTGTGGCTCAGCTGATAAAGAATCTGCCTGCAATGCAGGAGACCTGGGTTTGATCCCTAGGTTGGGAAGACCCCCTGGAGAAGGGAAAGGCTACCCACTCCAGTATTCTTGCTTAGAGAATTCTATGGACTATATGGGTCTCAAGAGTTGGACTAATGAAAAGAATGTTTCATGGGATGAGTCCCTTGACACAACACAATGTTTCCAGGACTGCTGGCCCGGAAGACAAGCTACCGAGTACTCAGGGACACACAGGTGGGTCAGGATGTCCGGGCCGAGTCGGGTGTAACCATGAAACCCTAATGGATGCTTGGTGAGCCTGTGGCCCCATTTTGGAACAGCAGCAGGGACAGGAGAGCCGGCTCACAGGTCAGGGTGCTCAAGACCGCACTAACTGCCCAACCTCTCAGTCAGCAACATCCTCAGCTCTCAGACACACCCAAGGAGAGCACCCACACAAAGTCATCTCAAAGCATAAACGAGCCTCCGCCTGTCCAGTGATCAGCAGTCCCTGCTGCTCAATACAGCAGATCTAAGGTCACAGACCACTGTGATAGCATAGCCACGCGAGATCCCTGCACTGACCATCACACACTGTGAGGGAGGCACCTGTCAACAGTAAAGGGCTGCCGTCTCACCCAAGGTGTTTGGTCCCAAAACACTGCTCCCACACAAACACAAAAACTGAAAATGCTACTGCTAGGCAGCCATTAAGAAAAGGGTCCCGTAAGGACTTGCCTGGTGGTCCAGTGATTCACACTGCACACTCCCAATGTAGGGGGTGCAGGTTCAAATCCCGGTTAAGGAGCCGGAATCCTCCATGTGGTATGGCCAAAAAAGAAAAAAGGAGGGTGGGCCTGTAACTGTACAGTTCAGTTTAGTCACTCAGTCATGTCCGACTCTGCGATCCCATGAACCGCAGCACGCCAGGCCTCCCTGTCCATCACCAACTCTCGGAGTTCACTTAAACTCATGTCCATCGAGTCGGTGATGCCATCCAGACATCTCATCCTCTGTCATCCCCTTCTCCTCCTGCCCCCAATCCCTCCCAGCATCAGGGACTTTTCCAATGAGTCAACTCTTCGCATCAGGTGGCCAAAGTATTGGAGTTTCAGCTTCAGCTTTTGTCCTTCCAAGGAACACCCAGGACTGATCTCCTTTAGGATGGACTGGCTGGATCTCCTTGCAGTCCAAGGGACTCTCAAGAGTCTTCTCCAACACCACAGTTCAAAAGCATCAATTCTTTGGCGCTCAGCTTTCTTCACAGTCCAACTCTCACATCCATACATGACCACTGGAAAAACCATAGCCTTGACTAGACGGACCTTTATTGGCAAAGTAATGTCTCTGCTTTTTAATATGCTGTCTAGGTTGGTCATAACTTTCCTTCTAAGGAGTAAGCATATTTTCATTTCATGGCTGCAATCACCATCTACAGTGATTTTGGAGCCCCCCAAAATAAAGTCTGACACTGTTTCCACTGTTTCCCCATCTATTTGCCATGAAGTGATGGGACCAGATGCCATGATCTTAGTTTTCTGAATGTTGAGCTTTAAGCCAACTTTTTCACTCTCCTCTTGCACTTTCATCAAGAGGCTCTTTAGTTCCTCTTCACTTTCTGCCATAAGGGTGGTGTCATCTGCATATCTGAGGTTATTGATGTAACTGTACATTCATCAGCAAAAAGAGCATGCTGTAAGACAACAAGCACTGTGTGATCCAAATTCTATACTTTTTAAACATTATTTGTTTTTAATACGTGTTTTTGCTAGAAAAATATATACCAAAACATTAATATATATATACCAACGGACAAAATTATGAGTGTTTTTTTTCTCTTCCTTTCTGCTTTCTTCCAAAATGAGCACAACAAGCATGTACTGGCTTTGGTAACACAAAGCAGGTTAACTTTCAAAGATGAAGAGGCTGGGGTGGGGGAGGGGAGCTGGTCAACAGCGGCAGACGCTGAGGAGGAAGCGCGAGGGCCAGGGCGGGGCCTGCAGCAGGATGGGGCACGAGGGGGACAGACCACTCTTTCAAGGAAGACAGAGCCGCTAGAGGGTCAGGCAGGGCTGTGGGGAAGGCGTGGTTGTAAGGGGGGTGGGGGCAGGATGGACAGCCTTCTGGCTGAGGAGAAGCAGAAAAAAACACTCAGAGGAGGGTTCAAGGTCACATACCACAGTTTACCCTTAAAAGGGAGACACATACCTCTCACTCTGAAACAGAAGGAAGGATGGGATGGAAACAAGGAGATGACAATGAAACATAATGAGGACAGCAGCAGTCAGTATTTCTACAAGATGACCAGTCATTTGTCCAAGGTCAACAGTGAATTCATGGTGGAACTGGGGCTTGAACCCATAGCTCACCTGAGCAGAGGCTTTCTACACTGAGGCAGGTAATCAGTGATGGCCACATAGTTCTCAAGAGCCTGAAATGCATACTAAGCACACGACTCCAGCAGAAGAGGGGAGGAGGAGAAGGAATGAGAGATGGGATGCAATTAGGACACAACTGCTCAGAAAGAGGCCAACCCAGGAGAATGACAGTGGGATGGAAAAGAAGGAAAGATAAGGAGCAAAAGGGGCAACTTTTTAGGAGGTCCACACCTAAAACATGGGCTGGGGAGAGGGACTATGACCCCTGATTAAAGCAACCACAAGCCCTGTCACTGATGAGTAAAATCCCCACCCCTCTCTGATGGTGATGTCAGTCATAACCCTATCACCAGTAGGAACCAAAAAGGTGAATCACATACATTTATTTCAGAGTTCTGCCAGCTGGATCCATATATTGGAGAGCCTGAAACTTACTCATTTTCAATGGCCTTCTTTCAAAAAAAAACACATAAGTGTAACGTCAGTAAAGACAACGGCAAGTAAAGGCGCCCTCTGTCAGCTCTGTAGCAAACCCTCCTCTGGGATCTTGTCACTGAGGTTAATGGAATGGCCTGGCCGCCCAGCCAACCCCGCAGCCGAAGCCGGAGCTCATGGGCCAGGGCAGGGCAGCACCACCTGGGGGCCACGTGCTCTGGAACCCTTCTGCTTGTCCGCCCAGGAGCCTGGGCAGGGAAGGCACTGAGGAGCCGGAGCTCCATCTGCACCCTCCCCTGCCCCCGGCATGGACAAAAAGCAGGGGCGCAGCAGCCCGCTGCCCTCCGCAGCACTCCCTAGTGCCCAGCAGCATGCGGCAGGAGTCATTGCATCTTTCTTACACAGACCAGCTAAGTAAGCAGTGAGACACTACTTCCTACACTCTGGTTCATACTCTGTTGTGAAACTAAAAGCAATAGTTTTCTTCGGAGCCCCAAGGGACGACTGTGAAGCACTAGAGCTCTAAATTTACTCCATTGTTGTACCTGCTATTACTGGGAAGCAAAGCTTTTTGGAGATAAATTTCTCAAAAGAAAAAATACACAAGCACGTATTCAAATTCAACTTCACCAAGAATTAAGCAAGATGTTAATAGGTGTTACATAAAAAGTCCAGTGGGCAAATGCGTTTGTGAAACACTTCACTGAGCAAAGTTAAGCAGGTTTCTTCATCACAGGACTTCTCAGGGCCTTTATTGCTCTAAGTACACTGAAATCACCCAAGTGGGGATGTGGTGTGAAGGTGGTCCCAAATGTATCTGGCCACAGAACTCCCGTTTAATACAGTAGCTAGTGAGAGTCACGCTTCTAGGAAACATTTTTCTAAACCATAAGACAGGGCATCTACAGACATACAAAGCATTATTTTACAAGACACACAAAATCTTCAAAATGAGTAAAGGAGTTCTTTTTCAATTTAAAATCAAGTTATTTTTTGAAAGTGAGGCCACATCAAATAACCTAATAAAGTTGCTTTCAACTTTCCTCTGAGACTGAGAATAACATGTTCGCATCACCACTTCCATTCAATGCTATATAGAAGGTCAGTAAAAGAAGTCAACTGAAAATAAAAAGCCTAAGAACTGAGGGACAACTATCATTATTCACAGATAACATGACTGGCTACAGAGACAATCCAAAGGAATCCACAGAGAAATTATTAAAAATAATTAATTGGGCCAGAGAGTGAGATAAAAGCTCAACATACAAAACCTACTGTATTTCTATATATGAAAACAAGTAGAAAACAAAATTTACAGCAGATACTATTCACATTAACATCAAAAGCATTGACTGCCATGAAAGGTGTGTAGAGACTTCTACATAGAGCCCTACATACATCACTGGGAGCAAGCAGAGAAGATGTAAGCAGAGGGATGAATCATTTCTAAGGATTAAAAGACTCAATATGGTAAAGGTATCAATTACTCCCCCAAATGACATATGGATTCCAACTAGCAGTTTTCTGGCTTATCCAGCTCCATCTTACCTTTAAAGTCTTCAAAATTTATCACTGCAGCTCAAGGAAATACTCCCTTAAAACTGCCAACACTCTGATGTTCAGTTCATTTTAAATCACCTGTTCACATGCTGCCCTCCACGGACACTGAGAACAGCACACTCCACACCAAGAGCCTTTGCTGAAGACGTGAAACCACCTCCTGGTCTGTTCTTCATCTTTAAAACTGCTCCATCCTGCTCTACTGTTTTCCAGATCAACCTCTCGTTAACTTTCATCTAAACACAAAATTCTATCACTACTGCTTAACTGTGAACATAGCATGGCTCTAAGACCCCATCAGTCACTGATGTGGCCCCAAAGTTCTGCAAAGTCACGTCCATGTATTCTCATGGCTGTCATGCATCAGTTATCCTCACCTGGGTGAACACCAGATGCCACGGAAGCTGTAACAAAAACCACACTGAAGCGCTGGCTCATCCAGACCAGACAAGAGAATGGGGAGGGTGGGCCGCCAGCCTCCAGCACGTCTTACAGGCTCCCAGCTCAAGCTCACATGTTCCCGGGCTGAAGCTTGTGTTATGGATAGCAAGACAGGCAGGCAGACAGACAGACACGCTTCTTTTTAAAACCAACAACTTACTTCCTTCTGGGTTTGGTGCAGAAAGAATGATGCTGTGGTTTTTCTTCACTTCTTCGACATACTGAGCTATTTTCGCTATACTGTTTCTGATCTCCTCGACCTAGGAGAGAGAGAAAAAGTCTTCACCACTGTGGCAAATTCAGATTTGCTTTTCATCACCTAAAAGGTGAAGGATAAAAGAGGTAAATAATGTTTTCTGCGCTCGCGCTCATCCTGGTGCCATCAGACGCTCACTCAACATGCAGAACGACGCCGGTGAGTTTGTGGACCTGTTATGTGCCGCGGAAATGCTCCGCCAGCAACCGTATCATCGGCACCAAGGACCACACGTCCATCCAAACCAAGGACCACACGTCCATCCAGATGAACGTGGCTGAGGTTGACAAGGTGATAGGCAGGTTCAACGGCCAATTTAAAACCTACGCTATCTGCGGGGCCGTTCGTAGGATGAGTGAGTCAGATGACTCCATTCTCCGGCTAGCCAAGGCCGACAGCATTGTCTCAAAGAACTTCTAACTGAAGAGGATCCCGGATATGGAATATTTGTTATAAATAAAGTGAAAACCTATTTGTTTTAAAAAAAAAAAAAAGAGTGAAATAAGTGAATAAGTACCACATAAAGAAATAATAACCTTTCCCCACTCAACTTAAAAAAATAAAGGGAAGTGGATATATGTGTATATATGGCTGAGTCCCCTTGTTGTCCACCTAAAACAATCACAACACTGTTAATTATCTACATTCCTATATATATATATGATAAAATATTTTAAAAAGTAAAATATATAAAATTTAAAAATTTAAAAATAAAGGGAAATAAGACAGTATCAATCTCCAGGAAAACCTAGTTGGCTATAAGAAGTTTTACAATCATGACCCAGAATTACCACAGACAGTGGCAACTATTATAGAAGCATCTACTATGAACACCAGTTCTCTGTGCAGTTAAGAAGGGAACTCATTTTGTAGGACAGGCCAGCAATAATATTCTCATGTGGGGAGGTATGGACAGCTGGTAAGACCAAGCCTTCTTAGTCATTATTTTTTTGCCTCTGATTATCTAAGTTATTCAATACTTGCTACAAAATGTAATGTACTCATTAGAAAGATTTGTCCAGATGGATTCTTAACAATGGTGGCAGCATGAATACTGTCCCCCCAAAATGTCCAGGTCCTAACCTCTGTGACCTCTGATGGTTACCTTATATGGCAAGAGAAACTGCAGGTGTGACCTAAACAAAGGATCCTGAGATGGGGAAACGGATGATCCTGGATCCTCCAGATGGACCCCCAACATCATCTCAAGTGTACTAGTAAGGGGGAACAGAGGAAGATGTGGCTACAGAAGAAGGCCACTCGACCCAGTGAAGCAAGATGCCTTGCTGCTGGCCTGGAAGAAGGAGGGGGTAGAGACGGAGGAGACGGGGACGCAGCTCAGGAGCTGGAGAGGCAGGTATGGAGAAGCAGGTTCTCCAGGGAGCCTCCCAGGAGTGCGTGCAATCCTGCTGACACCACGGTTCATCCCAGTGGAACCAGGGTGAACTTCTGACCTTTGGAAATGAAGAGGATAAATCTGCACTGTTTCAAGCCATGAAATTTGTGTAGCCCTAGGAAACTAAGCACAATTTCTATACTTAAAACCTTAGGGAGACTTCCCTGGCAGTCCAGTGGTTAAGACTCCACCTTCCAATATAGGAAGTTTTTCGATCCCTGGTCAGGGAGCTAAGACCCCACATGCCTCACGGCCAAAAAACCAAAACATAAAACACAAATGATATTGTAACAAATTCAATAAAGACTTTAAAAATGGTCATATAAAAAAATACATATATATCTTTAAAAAAAAAGATTAGGAAAATCCTAAAGCCCAGCAAAAGGAGGCTTGTTAGGGTACATTATAGAACTATAACAAAAGGCATAAAAAAATCCCCAGGATATATTACATATATTACCAAGTTAAAATCACAGGAGGAAAATTACCTACTAGTTGCAGAATAATGTATTTATGTGTTAACAATGATGAAAGAAGCCAAAACAGATTAATGGGCAGATGGTAACACTTAAAAGAAGAAATGCTGGGATGTCTCAAAAAGAAACTTAAAAAAGGACCCCTCTGGAGGTGAGAGGTGAGAAGACAAGGAGATGAAGACAGGGGTGGGGTGAGGCCTCTTGTAGGAGTGCGTCCTCTCTCATCATCCTGACTTCTGAGCAACAGGGATGCACCTCTCCGTGGAGAGATAAGATGCCTGCTTTGGCTCATGTAGGCTGCAGCTCCTTCCAATCTAAGTACCACAGGAGAGACACACACCTTTAACATGTATGAATTCACTTACTACAGTCATCACAAACCCATGACATCCTGTGGTGGACGTCCACATCTTAATCCTCTGCAAGTGACCTTATGAGGCAAAAGGCGCTTGGCAGGTGTGGTTAGTTAAGGGTTGAGATGGGAGATTATCCTGGATTATCCGAATATCCAATGTAACCACAAGAGTGAAGCAACGGGATCAAATTTAGAAACAAGCAGAGATGTGCTTTAGACAGAGGAAGGGGCCACGAGCCAAGAATGGAGGCGACTCCAGAAGCTGGAACGGCAAGGATGCAAATATTCCCTAGAGCCTACAGGAACACACGGCCCTGCCAACACCCTGATGTGTGCCCCAAACAGCTCATTCCAGACTTCTGACCTCTGGAACTGTGAGACGATAAATGCATGCTCTGTTAAAACTACTATATTTGTGGTAATTTGTTACTGCAGCAGCAGGAAACTAAAAATACATGTTAACATAAATAACATATTTTTATGGAAAAAAGCAGTATTTTCCCCCAAAATCAGTGACAGTAAGAGCAGTGATTTACATTTCTCTGCAAATCTAGCTTCTAGCTTAATGGAAGGCACCTTGATTCTGATGCGGTTTCTGTGTTCAATCTGTTGTGATGTGGCCTCTGAAAACTACCCCCACCCCTACGGTCATTCATGACAGAGGGAGAGGAAAGAGGTGAACATCTTCGTATTCTTATGAAAATTGTTTCAGCCACACGAACTCCTTGGAAGGGTCTCAGGAACTGCAGGGACACTGGGTGCAAGTCCCACAACACATTTTGAAAAGAGACATTAGAGGACAGTCTGACACGGAATTCTGCTTTCATGGAGCAGTGACTGGTTATTTCACTAGGCCTAGGTGTTATTTCCATCTATACACGATTTCTACTGAACTTCACATACTTATAATTTAATCTTATTAATCAGGTAAAAACCACACAAATGATTACAACAGAATCTTTTAAAATTTTTGCTACTTTACCACACAGGCTTAAGCACAAATGATTTTGTGGTTTTAGTGCACAGATTTACATTTCAGTTAGTCATCTTTAAAGCACCATCTCTGAAGTGAAGTCAGTGAGACCCATCTGTCACAAAGTAGAAAAGATATTCCTTTGCCTCTTGGAAAGTTCTACAGTACACACACCAACATTATCTGTGCAGCAGAAGCACCAGCGCAGCCCAAACAGAGAAGGAAACTGCTGGGCCATCAGCTCAGTGCCAGGAGGGAAGTGCCATCCTCACTGTAGCGCCAGGCCCATTCACGTCTGTGAGTTGCACCACACGGGCTCTCTCAGACAACCACAAGCTACTTTCATAAAAAGGGGCTCTCCTGCCCGCCTATTACAGCATTATTTTAGCTTTAACCAACACTGGTCATGTGCAAAATTCCTATCTTTTGCAATATTCTATGTGATACTTAAGATCTAAATGTCATTTTCTAAAGAAAGAGCTTGTATTAACAAACATCACGGGCTTCTCTATTTGTTTCAGAAGTCATTTCAGGATGTCCCTGGCAGTGGTTAAGACCTCAAGCTTCTACCGCAGTGGACACAGGTTCAGTCCCTGGTTGGGGAACTAAGATCCCACATGCAGTATGGCACAGGCAAAAAAAAAGAAGTCATTTCACAGAAGTTAACTGCAAAATAAGTCAACTATTTAACAAATGAAACTGGAACTTAGGTTAGAATCAATGGCTCTCAGACCTCCCTCACACCACTCACCCGTTTTTGTATGCATCTCTAACACCTGCAGCGAAATTGGATTAGTGCTAAGTTACTACAGCTTAATGACACAGTGATTAAAATTCTTCTATAAAATACAACATTTACTGCTAGAAGATTCTTAAAATAAAAAATATGGGTTTCTCTGGAGAACTGACATGAAAGAATTAAGCATCTAGGTAAAGGGGGTAAAATCAGAGAAATAATGATTTTACAAAGTGGGCAGGTAAACTAACCGGGATGAAAGTGTCTTGTTTGCAAAGTGAAATCCAGAAATCCAATAACTTAACTCCTCTGTACCTTAAAGTAAGCTCCTATAGATAATTATTTAATTTCATGTTTTTCCAATTAGAAAAGACTAGGAACTAACATAAATATATCTGAAACCCAATGAACTATGTATTCAATAAGTTCTGGCTGAAAAGTTGGTAACTTGTAATACGTTTTTAATTAACATACTACATATTTTCAAATCCATGTAGTGACAGACCAGTTTAGACTGCCAACAGATTTAAGAGTACACTGAAACTCCTAAGACTAGATTCAGCATAATCAATACAAGTCCTGCAAATGAAGTTTCCATTGTGAAAAAATTATACTGGCCATGTTTCTTTTCTTAATGCTTAACAAAGTCAAAATATCTGTTCTCAGACTCTATTTCAAAAATTTGAAATTATGCAAAATTTGATCAACTATGACTTAGGGTTAAGACTTTAAACACGCTGTCATGTTTAAATTCTAGAAACAGCCCTGGGGAGTTGACAGGGAGAGGGGAAGGCCTTAGGGGGAAGTCTGGGAGACAGACAGGTGCGAGGGAAGCCCCAAGGGCACGGCCCAGAGGCTGCGCCCCTGCACCGGCAGTCCAGAGATAGGCCAGGCTGGCCAAGGCAGCGCGGAGTTGCCACAAGCGCGTCTTTGCTCAAGGATAAGATCTCTCAGGAATGAGTGAAGTCCCACATGACCTAGAGACTCATGGTTTAGTATACGGAAAACTCAGCAGAAGAATTTACAATTCAATCAAAGATTTTAGAAAATACACAATACGAGCGAGCCCTTTGACATACAGGACTCAGGGCCATTCCACAGGAGAAGAGAGAGAAAAGCCTCACTGTGTGAACCGTGCACGCCTGACGGCCAGCTGAGGGAAATCACCCCACCAGGCCTTCCACGCCCAGGACCCAGTCTCCCTTCGTCTGGAGGACCCCGCTGGCCATGGGTGTGGCAGGACCTCCCCGGGGGACCCTGTGCTTGGAGGAGGTACCTTCTCTCAGCACGAGCCCGTGAGCAGCAGGTCCACCCTGCTGACCACCCCCAGCCCACAGGCTTCAGTCTCCTCAGAGGCCCCCAGCACCCACAGTCACCATTCTCACCCACCCTCCCCACCAAGTCAGTCACCAGGAAGAAGGGCCCAACAGTAATAAATGTGCTAATAGCACTAAAAATTCTACAGCACTTTTCAAACGTCAACTTTTTAAAATATTTAGTTTTGGCATAATTTCAAATATGACAAATGCACACTTACATTAATTTAACTGTTTAAAGAAGAATGACAGACTGGGTTTCACAAAATGACTCTTACCTGATGGAAGAAATCATCCATAAAATGGTCCTTTTCAACAACAACAGTTGTGTCCCCATCATCATTTTTCCTACACTGAAATGGAAAAATATGAAATGTAAAATTCTGGTTTTAAAAGTTTTCACAGAGGCACCAATGGTGAATTGAAAGACAAGAGCAGCTGGGTACCTACACGATCTCAGCTCACTAAGAGCACCAAAGCGTAAGAAGCCCACCACCCACCAAGGCTGTGACATTCACCAGGCCACAGTCAGGGCAGGCGCACACAGCCAATCGGCCTGGAGAAGCAGCCACATCAGGGGGAAACAATGACTGGATCTTCGAGAACTGAGCACCAGAGGATCGATCATTCATTCTCACTGAGTGCGTCCATGTGACACAGAGCAGGTTTATTTTTCACAAGTGAATCTGCTTACATTGCACACTGTCTATACAGATTAGAAATACTGACACCACTAGTCAACTTTTCTAGTTGTTCAGTCGCTCAGTCACGCCCGACCCTTTGCGACCGCACAGACTGCAACATGCCAGACTTCTCTGTCCCTACCATCTCCCAGAATTTGCCCAAGTTCATGTCCACAGAATCGGTGACGTCTTCCAGCCATCTCATCCTCTGTAACCCTCTTTTCCAGACTTTTGTGCCCAACTTTTCTAGATTAGGTAATAATTTTCAAAGAACTTTCACATATGTTAGCTAGTGTTGATCGTTTTTCCCTAAGTAATTTCCAATTATGACCACACTTGTATAATCAATAAACATTTTACTAAAGAAAGACTCAGTGAAGAAGACCTGAGTGAACTGTGGTGCTGGAGAAGACTCTTGAGAGTCCCTTGGACAGCAAGGAGATCAAACCAGTCAATCCTAAAGGAAAACAACCCTGAATATTCTTTGGAAGGACTGATACTGAAGCTGAAGTTTCAATACTTTGGCCACCTGATATGAAGAGCCAACTCACTGGAAAAGACCCTGATGCTGGGAAAGATTGAGGGCAGGAGGAGAAGGCGACAACAGAGGATGAGACGGCTGGATGGCATCACCGACCCAACGGACACGAGTCTGAGCAAACTCTGGGAGATGGTGAAGCACGTGCTGCAGTCCAGGGGATTACAGAGTTGGACACAACTTCACGAATGAACAAGGGAACGCTGAGGAAGAAAGCAACCCACCACTGGGAAAGGCCAGGATGCCACTACTTTACAAATCAGGTCCATCAGTTTAAAATAACATTGAAGAGATGTTCTAAGCCAGGCGTTCTCACACCTGACGGACATCAGGACCGCCTGGAAGGCTGGGTCTCTGGCTGAGTGGAGCATTCCATGACTCGAGACTACCCTAGAACATCCAGAACCTCACCACATTGTAACCTTAACCCACCCCTCAAGGGACGCAAGAGAACGAAACAGTGAAAAGACTTTGCAAAAAGTCCCCTACACATGAACCTTCAAGTTGCAAGCTTTCAAAGACATGAACGTGCATTCCCATGTCCAATCACGTAAGTTCACATGCCTGGTATACACTGTCACATGTGTACACCCTCTACACATGTGCTTTTGCATACTTTACTGTATAGTAGTGCAGTTTTATTTCAAGCCCAGGATGTCTGGAAGCACGTGCAAAAGCAGCAATGATGTAGCTGGTAACTGGGACGACGAAAAAAAAAGAACTACTACCCAGACATCACTGGACTGTTCTTTCGAGAGGGTAGATAGAAAAAAAAAGCCAGCAAGAAACCAGAACCTGTGTCATCAATGTCAGGCAAGAGTGAAACTGCAGCTTGCCCTCCATCTCCTATTGCTGACGATCCTTCAGCTCTACCACCTCCCACCTCCACTCCCCGCTCCAGTCAGTAACTCTCCTTGCCTGTTCACTCGATTGCCTGTTCACTCGATGCCAGCCCTGTTCGCCAGCTGTTGTACCATACTACTATACTTCTCAAGGTACCGTAAGATTTTAAATGTTTAGTTTTCTATGTTTGTTTTTTATGTATTATTTGTGTGAAGGGCTTCTCTTATGGCTCAGTTTGTAAAGAATCTGCCTGCAATGCAGGAGACCGGAGTTCGATCCCTGGGTTGGGAAAATCCCCTGGGAAAGGGAAAGGCTACCCACTCCAATATTCTGGCCTGGAGAATTCCATGGACTGTATAGTCCACTGCCTCGCGAAGAGTCGGATATGACTGAGTGACTTTCAACCAACCCATTTGTGTGAGAAGTATTATAAACCTATTACACTATAGTATGGGCTTCCCTTGTGACTCAGCTGGTAAAGAATCCACCTGCAATGTGGGAGACCGGGGTTCGATCCCTGGATTGGGAAGATCCCCTGGAGAAGGGGATGGCTACCCACTCTGGTATTCTGGCCTGGAAAATTCCATGGACTGTATAGTCCATGGGGTCGCCAGGACTCAGACATGACTGATCGGCTTTCACTTCACTTCACTTCACTTCACGTTACAGTACTATATAGCTGATTGTGTTAGTTGGGTACCTAAGCTGACTTTGTTGGACTCAGAAACAAACCGGACTTGTGATCATGCTCTCAGAACGGAACTCGTTTGTATGTAGGGGACTTATTATATTGGGAAGAAAGCAACCTCTGTCTACAGCTACAGGGGAGAGGAGACAATGTCAGACCCCAGAACCTGGCATCTGAGTCACACAAAATTTATCAAGGACATGTGACAGAGCATCTACCAATGAGAGATGTGGATTCGAGAGGAGAAAGGAAAGACACCTGACAGCATGTAGAGGAGGGAACTGTTTGAAACCATCTCCCTGAGGGCACGCTGGGCGGTCCGTTCAGCTCTAACTCTGCGAAAGCTGAGGCGGCCCCAGATTTCAGGGATTCTGTATCCTCAGGAAAATCAGAATCTTGAAGCACTAAAAGTCTTAAGTGTAGCTTTACTGATCTGCAACTTGGAATAATGTGGAAACAAAATTCCACTGAATTTAGTTAAGAAAAATCTGCCAACTATAATAAATGTGGTAAGAAAACACAGTGCAGCCTCCCTCTGCACCTTCCAGGGCCCACGCTGAGGCAAACCGATCTGGCCTAAACTTCAACAAGAAGGCTTCTGCACCTCCCTTGCCCTGGGGCCACTTCTGGGTGTAGATAAGATAATCTACAGAGGGCAAAGGGAGAAGAAATGTGCTTCTCCAAGATAGAGAGGCACGAGCTCCCTCAGACAAGGGGTTTCTATGAGAGCCATAAAGGGAATTTTATCTCCAGGTGACACATACACTGGAGAGCCGAGGGGCGGTCTCGAGGGAAATGCAGACCCCCCTCCACAGGATTCTGGGAGCAGCTCACGGAGCTGCAGGCGGGGGTCAGAGGGCGCCTCTCAGGACTGTGGGCTGAGCTCTCTCCACACGTTGCTTGTTTAGACTCCCCAGGGCATGTGCCTGGAGTGGTTTCCCCAGCAGGGCCCTTCCTTACTTTGAGCCACCACCCTGCTCTCACGTGACTCCAGTCGTGGAGGAAGATGCCTGCAATTAGGCAGCGCTGCTACTGAGAATGTTTCTTTTGTACTCTGCTAACAGGGCAGGTATTATGGGTTGAACTGTCCCCCTAAAAATAAATGTTGTAAACCCCCAGGATCCGTGCTTGGAGAAAGGGTCTGGGAAGACATAATTAGTTAAGATGAGGTCATGCTGGAGCAGGATGGGCCCTTAACCCCACATGACTCTGTCCTTATAAGAGACAGAGACACAGGGGAGGCAGTCATGTGGCGAGCAAGGCAGAGGGTAGTGAAGGGTCTATGAGCCAAGGAGCGCCTAGGACTGCCACCACCCCCAGAAGACATGAGCAGCAAGGCAGGACTCCCCCCAGGTTCAGGGGAGCATGGCACTGCGACATCCTGACTTCAGGCTTCTGGCCTCCGGGGCCAGACATGACAGCACCTCTGTGACCCCATCTGTGGTCTTGTGTCACGAGAGCCCAAGGACACACACACACACACACACCAAGGACTGAAGCGTGCCAACCCGACCCTTTCTTTAACCAACCATGCTAACTAACCAAGACACCGATCTGGACCCAAGTAGACACGCTTGTCTAGCGAGAAGAATACCATCTTGGGAGTCGCAGGTCTGGCTTCTAACCTGCTTACCAGCTGGGCCCCACCAACTTCTCCTACTCTGTCTCCTGGTCTATAAAGTGAAGATGACACCCGTTTCCTCCTCCAAAGGTGGGGCTGCAGGAAAACTGCCCACTCAGGGCTTCATAAGGCATGTGATTTTCACAGGGTGTGCATACACCAATAAAGGCTTTTAAAATCATTTCAGGTCCATGCTCTTAATTCCCAGAAAAAGAGCACTTAAAGGCAGATCAGCAATCAGCTAACAGCAACAAAAGTGACGTTCAGGCAAACCCGCCAACAGCATAGAGCTCTTCTCCAAAGAGGGCTGCTAGCAGGCGTCGCATCATGGGCCAGGGCACTGGGGCAGCAGGATGACTTGCTGTTGTGCTGGTCCTCCAGCACCACCTGAGGCCTGCGAGCACCCCCGTTTCACACACAGAGAACACCCGGGACAGCTGAGCACCGTGCTCACAGCCTCAGGCCTCTCTGGGGACCAGGAGGGTTCGACCTCACAAACCCACGACTGTGCTGACTCACCAATGGCAGGAGCACCGGGAAACTTAAAATGCCTTCCACACCTGCTCCCCCAACTCTGCGAGAAGCAGCTAAGGCAGGAGGTGAGGGGCTGCCCTGGACACTCAGAGCTGAGACTACCTTATCCCTCTGACTCCAGAAGCCCTCACTCTTGACCACACACCATGGACCTCCCCCAGAGGAGGGGATTTCATGTGGGTCCTCCAGGCACAGCCTGGCTCCCAGGCTCCCTTCTGAGCTTCCAGGGCAGCTTCCCTGGCCTTCACAATCATGTCCTCTTTGAATGACCCTGCATGTCACTGTCCCCCTATGGCTGACGTCTCTTCACAGATGCGGGAAGGGGATGTTCTGGAGGCCAGGAACACTGGCGTGAACTAAATTAAGTCCCCGTGAATTCATCAAATAAGAATGGGGGATGGGTAGAGAATGACCTTGAACGTGGCTGAGCAGGGCTGAGATTCCCCTGTGGCCCAGAGGACTAGTGGTGACAACACATCTGCCCCCACTGTGGCTTTCCTGGGGCAGAGGACACCCATCTCACCCCTCTGACAGCTATTCATGGTTCTCAGAGGCCTCAGTGTTTTGTCTGTCTTACGTTTTGTAGTGAAAATGACAAAACACGAACAGAAGTAGAAGGAATAATGTAGGGAGCCCTCGATGCATCCACTGCATGGGTTCCACAATGGTCAATCAACAGCCTGTCTTGCTTCACCTGCAGGCTCCGCCCCCCCCCCGGGGCCCAGCAGCACTACACCATCTCGTGGCAAAGCCCACACACAGGATGTCTGCCATGTGTGACACAGCCAAGAACCTGCACTCCCTACTCCACCTGCTCCAGGGCAGAGACTTAGTTACTTCTGGCTCAGGGGAGACAGTGTCCAACATAACACTCTCCCTGAGGGAAGTCAGTCATTTTACCATTACATTATACATGGACCTCTCTCTGTACAGGAGGCAGTGAATAAACAACTGACCACCAAAAAACTCAACTCTTCCTGGACGCTGAGACCCACGTGTCACCACGCGTGATCTCTATTCACAGTCATTTGCTTGCTGGTAAATCGTGCATTTCTCTACCTGCAGACCAAGAGGGAGCCAATGACTGGAATCTGTTTCCTCTACTGTCTTTTTCCCTTCCTTTTTTTTTTGCTAGTGGTTTTACTATTATGTTTTAGTGCCTTAGAGAAAAATCAGCAAAACAATGACACTGTGTGCAATTTTAACACAATTTTTGCAGATGAGAGAGATTATTAAATTTATTTCTATTTGTTACAGCACGGTATTCTTATGTCATAAATGGATAAAACATGTAAAATCAGTTGTGAAGACATTTTTTTCTTTTTTAACTTTTTATTTTATATTGGAGTAAAGCCTATTTCCTACTTATATTTTTTAGTTCTATCTAGAACGCTCAAAACTATTAGACATGAGAAAATAGACCCAGTAATACTATCTCAGCTTTTCCATTCATTAAAAAAAAGAAAAAAAAATGACTACCTAACTATGCTATTCAAGCTACACAATCGCCCCCCCATGTCCATGGAGCTCATGTTCCATCTTTCCAGCTGAGATGGTGTAACCCCTATACAACAGCCGTTGTTTACAACAGTGTACTTATCGTAAATAACAAAATGATTCGTGGCATTCACTAGCAGCAGTGGGAATAGCCTCCAACTTGATCTCCAAAGTGTCAAAGTACAAGATAAGCACCCAAATATCAACATTCCATTTCTGTTAAATTTTAAAAGAATTCTCCTTAAAAGCAGCATTACATTAAAATACAATTCTCTCTGTGAAAAGTATTGTGAGGAAGAGACAGTAAGGAGCTTCCCTGTTAAGACTCTATTTAACAAAGATGAATTATCTGTCACTGGAATGCTCTCTGTTGAGATAATTCAGAAGCTGAATTACTGCAAACTGAAAGAATTCAAAGTTGGATAAGATACTGAATTTTTCTCCATGTTATTCTCCACATACATGTACACTAGGGCTTCCATGCAAATGTTAATTGTGGGGAAACAATTATCTTGAAATATGCCCAATGGTGGCAATACCTTTACTGGTAGAATACGGTAATTTTTCAAAATTACTTCAGTTAAAAAAAAAGAATACTTGTAATTAAAAATAGGCAAAAGCTGACTGCTGGCCAGTTGGTAATCATGTTGCCAGATATAAGTATTTCTTTCCCATATTTTTATATAATCAGTTATAGTTTTATGCCCTAGGTAGAATATTACTGTTTCATGTTTTACATTTTCACTTCATATTCCATTATTATTATAAATACTACAGGTCCTTACACTTCACATAAACATTGTATTGCATAAATGCTTCTGGTTTTTTCCTCTCAAAGACATGTTTAAAGATTTTTCCTCATCTCTCATTTTCGCTCACCACTGACTATCAAACTCATCATCCTGTCCTTCACAGCAGAGCCGTGGCTGGCCGTGCCCCCTGCCCAGCCTGTACCCAGCTGGCTCCTTCTTCCCATCACATCTCAGCTCAGAGATCTCCCTGATCAAGACCCCTGATCACCCAGCACAAAGCAGCCAACCCGTACCCACTCACCGTTTGATATCTTCCCCAGCAGTTACTGCTCACTGACTTAACTGTTCCTTGTCCCCTCCCCCCAGGACACGTTTCAGGGGAGCAAGGACTTCAAGGGTCTTGTTGCAACTTACACCTGAAACAGTGCCTGGCATGTGGCAGTCACTCAGCTGAGACCAGCTAAAGGAATGAATGAAGGGCAGAGAGACGAGATGGGGATGGGGATGGAGCGGACAGAAAGCACATACAGAAGGACAGGGAAGCCAAGAAACAAAGACACACACGGCACAATGGGCAGGACTGGAGGACAGAGGCAGTCTTGGTTGCTCGCTAGCCCCTGGTTCCATCCCCTCGTGAGGTCTGACAGCACATCCCGCTGTTGAATCTGAAGCCCCATTCTACCATTGCATCAATCTCCCTTTTCTGTTTTAGCGAAGGGGTTTCTGTCCCTGGCAACCCAAAGAGCCTGAAGACAACAGGGTCCATTGTCATCTGCATTTTCCTAACTAACTGTGGGTGTGTTCAGAAGCAAACGTACTCAAACCACACCTAGCAGGTGCTCCAGGCAGAGTCCTGAGGCCTCAGAGCAAACCTGACAGCACACATCTGCCCTGGAAAAGGTGCAGAGTTTGTGGGAAGGCGCAGAAAACAGGACCACGTGTGTGTTCAGATGGGCAGAGATGGGAGATCTCTGGGGACACAAAAGGGACGACTTCCTGGTAGTGACGCTTGCATTGAGGCCAAAAGAAAACGTGGGGCCAAAAAGGGGAGGGGGCAAGAGACATATAAAGTGAGTAGCTCACGAGGACCCAGAGAGGAGGGCACGTGGGAACAGCAGACTGGACCAGGGGACCTGCCACAGTGAGGCGCTGGTTCTCTCTTGGGTTCTCCATTCCTTCTATTCGTAATGAACAGATTTGAAATTAAAAACAAGAAGTAATTAACCTGTGGAAATGTAGAGACTTTGCTTTTATATTTTGCATACAAACAGTATTTATTGTAGTTCCCAGAGAAATAATAAGGGCTTCCCGGGAGGCGCAGTGGTCAAGAATCTGCCTGCCAATGCAGGAGATGCAAGAGACATGGGTTCAATCCCTGGGGTCGTGAAGAGTCCCTGGAGGAGGAAGGGAAACCCATCTTGCCTACACACAGAGAAACTACAGATCTGGGTTGCAAAGATCCCAACTGTGGGATTCCAACTGTCTGTAGAATGACACAGGATTCAGTAAATTATGAAATCCTCAACTATAAACATATTCAAATATTATGTACAATTCATATATTAAAGTATACATGTATTATGAAATTCTCAGTATTTTAAACTTCAGTGTCATACTTAAAAAAAATGTTTTTACTTTCTAAGTTGGAACCTGAACCTTTACTACGTAACAATCTGCACTCTGTGTCCCATCTGAGCTGCCAAAACAGAACCTTAAAAATATGTGGGCAGCTTTTCTTGCCCTTTAAAAAATTTTACGTGCAATTTATCACCATGAACCCAAGTATTAAAAATAGTAATTTTCTCAATAAACAAAGTCCTACTGTATAGACAGGAAACTATATTCAATATCCTGTGAAAACCCTAATAGAAAAGATTAAAAAAATATATAACTGAATCACTCTGTTATCCAGCAGAAATAGAACATTGTAAATCAACTACATTTCAATACAATTTTCTTTTAACAATTTAATTTTCTCATATGTCTACTAGTGAATACCATCTAAGTATGTGTGTTTATGGCTATTACTCTGCAAATTCCCACAGCTGAAATTTACAATTTTTCTGTTTTTAACTACCGTAAATACAGTCATTTGCATTCACAAACTTTAAAAGTTAATCAAAATATATTTGGGGTCATTATCTCGAAGGACAGCAATTCCACTTTGACTTACTTCCTAAACTATTTCCTTCTGCTTCTTCACTCTTCCTTACCTGGTTGTGCACATCCACAGCACACGCCTGGTTCATTTCTGTGCCCTCTGCACTTAGCACGTAGCCTCACAGAGATCCAGTGCTCAGAATCTACTGAATGGGTGGTCATTGTATTTTTTTAAAAACCAGAAACATCCTTCTGGATTTAGACTTTAGGAAATCTTGGGCAAGTCACTCTAACTTTCTGCACCCGAATGTACTAACTGGCTGCTCAAAAAGAGAATTCTTGCTTAGAAGCAGCTAAATCTGTATTTGACAAACTGCATTGGACAAACTAACTTTTAAGTCCTTTCTGACAAGTTATCAGTGGGAATCTTTTTCTCAGGAGGAATCACTAACAGCTAATAAGGGAAACTTCTAGAAGGCATCAAGAACATTTTGTCAATGTGGACAACACAGGCATTTTAACTAGTAAAATTGAATATTCACGTTTACCTAGGAAAAAACACCAGCCACTTAGAAACATGGTTGTGAAAGGTCATTTTACTACTCCAAGAGCTACCTGGAAAAAACACATTTCCTGGAAAAAAAAAAAAAATTAGATTTGATAGCTGATAATTTTCAGATGAGTTTTTAAATATTAAAAGTTAAACTTTAAGTATTTCAGATTCAATTTTAAGTTAATATGCCAGGGAGAAGGTTGCTTTTCATAACTGCTTGAATACATTTTAAAAATTAATACATATTAATAACACTTGTAATTACAAAGCATTATTCTCTCTCCCACCCTCTCCCAAGTGTCACACACAGGAGATAATTTTATGATTCAGCGCTTCTTCCATAAGAGTACACCAAAAAATCTTATTATCGTCATTTTATATACAGGAAAACTGAGGTTTTGAGAGGTTCAGAAATTTTCTGCCCAAGATTCAACAACTGCAGACATAAAAATGTCCACTAATTTGCCCTACAGCTGCTCAAATCTTCATCTACAGCAACATGGTACTGGATCAGAAAAGATCACTTCTTCCTCTAGAATTCTAGATTAAAACACCTTCTTACCAACACTGTTGCCGTAAGAGCTGAAATACACATACACTTAAGAGTGATAAAGAACTGCCTTCTTCGTTTTTTGCTTTTTTTTTTTGCTAAACAAGCCAAGAAAAGTTTCTCATATTCCACTAACACATTTTCTACTGTTCTCCAACATTTATAAATTTGTCTATTCTTTCATGATACAATCTTCATTTCTTCACTTATCTGAGCTTCTAACAAAGAAAGATACACCATTGAGTGCGATAACAGAAGAGCAATTTGCCGTTTAACATGTTGCTAATCTATGAACACAAACGTCAAAATATCTGACCATTAATAAAAAGGGAAGGAAAGAAAAATCACTACGAAGAAACTTTCTGGGAAAGAGTGTAAAAGCATAGTTTTCATAATCTGAAGAATGAATAATTCATTGCTTCTCTGAACTAAGATTCCTCATCTGGCCAACAGAACATAGATAATAATCAGAGGGACTATTCTACTTCCTAAGCCTTGGACAGGGCTGGATCCATTCTAGAAGCCAAAGAGAGAGTTAATTCTTTACATTCAATGGATGCTTTAGTGCAGTGGGCCTTGCTCCGTTCTGAGGCTGTTCAGAGTACTGGGGAACGAAATATAGACATTCAACACTACTTTAGTACTTGTATTTTTCATGAAAAAAGTCAGAATTAATTCTGTTCACCTAAAATGTTTCAACTCTTCTACATTCTATAAACATCCACTACCGTTTCAATGTCATCATCTCATTCACAGTACTGTCTGTGGAATGCATCAAACACGACTCCAATTCTTAAGGGAACAAAACACTGTTCCCTTACTAAAGTCATTGGTAATTTGCTGAGTACCTATGTACTCCACCAGCGGGGTTTACTGGGAGTAAACAAACACAAGGCAAACTATTTGCAGGGGAAACAAAAGGCGCCCCTCTGTACCTGTCTCCCCGCTCCCTTCCAGCATCCAGCCCTGCAAGGCGCCCGCTGGCATGTGGCATCACATGCATCCGTTCCCACCTATCCACTGAGCTCCTACTGCGCGCGGGGTCCCACCCGAAACAGATAACAGACAGGGAGCAAGGGGACTTGTCCCTGCTCGCAGGGAGCTGACGCATACTAGGATGGAACCGACCATAATTCAACAAGTAACTTCTGGTCATGATAAGTGATCTGCAAGGACTTAAACCAGGCGAAGGAATGGACCGCCTCTAGGAAAGGAAGTCACCTGAAGCAGCAGCAGAGCCCAGCTCAGAAAAGGAGGGTCGAGGCCCGGCCGGACCCTGAGACGCCGGCTCACAACCGCGCCCTCGCGCTCTGCGCATGCCCGGCCCGCGCCGCGCCCAGACCCACGCAGACAGCGGGAGCCTTCCTGAGGGAATGCCGCGACCCAAGGGGCGGGGTCCGCCTGGGGGGCGGGGCCTGAGTTGGGTAGGCGGGGACTATGGGGGAGGGAAGGGGCCCGCCCAAAAGGCGCGGCAGAGGAACAGACGCGATCTGGTGGGGGGAAGGAGCGGAGCCTGACTGAAAGGGGAGGGGCGGGGCCTGCTGAGGAGAGGCGGGACTGGCCGGGAAGGGGCGGGGCTCGACTGAGTTGTGTTCTAGCGGCCTCTTATCCTGGTCGATTAGATATGACTTTTGCTCTTTTTGATCTGCTTTTGGTTTTGTGCTTTCACATTCATTTGATTTACTTTAAAAATTCGTGGAAAATTTGGTGACGAATTTAGCAAGTGTATGGAGATGGGTTAGGTGCAGCTTTGTATATGCATATTCCGAACAAAGACCATCTCTTCAAGGATTCTTGGGGCTTCCCCGGTGGCTCCTGCCTGCCCTGCTGGAGAGCATTCAATCCCTGGGTCGGAAGATCCCCTGGAGGAGGGAATGGCGACACACTCCAGTATTCTTGCCTGGAGAACTCCATGGGCAGAGAAGCCTGGCGTGCTACAGTCCATGAGGTTGCAAAGAGTCAGACAGGAGTGAGTGACTAACACACTTTTATGGATTCTTATTCTTTTTTATGTGACTAAGGCCTAGTCAATCCCAAAGGAAATCAGTCCTGAATATTTCCAAGGACTAAGGCTGAAGTTGAAGCTCCAATACTTTGGCCACCTGATGTGAAGAACTGACTCATTGGAAAAGACTCTGATGCTGGGCAAGATTGAAGGCAGGAGGAGAAGGGGAAGACAAAGGATGAGATGGTTAGATGACATCACTGACTCGATGGACAAGAGTTTGAGCAAGCTCTGGGAGTTGGTGATGGACAGGCAAGCCTGGTGTGCTGCAGTCCATGGGGTCGCAAAGAGTTGGACACGACTGAGCTGACTGAACTGAACTGAAGGCCCGTAATGACTAATTAACATAACCTAAAGAATGTAATTTAAAATGGCATGAAGTGGTAATATGCAGAGATGCAGGCCTTGGGATGCAGTTCTAGTGTGAGAAACAGACAAGACAGAAGCGGACAAATAAATAAGAAAATGGGGCATGGACTTGGAGGAGGGCTGAGAGGTGGCTCCATCAGACAGTGGTCATGGGAGACACCAGAGTTTAGGCCAACAAAGTCAGAGGGAACAGTCTCCAAGACCCTCTGACTTCTGACACCAACTACAAGCTCAGTAACTCACTGGAGGGACTCACAGAATTCACTGAAAACTGCAATGCTCACAGTTGGGGTTTAACACAGGGGATGAATACAGATTAACATCAGCAAAGGGGGGAGGGGAGACAGGAGGGGAGGGGCAGGGAGGACATCCTGGTTGTACCAAATATGAAGCTTCTGTTGTCTTCTCCTCGGGCAGTCCAGACACATTACTTACACAGCATTGATGGGTATCAGAATACATGAAGTTGCCAACAAAGAAAGTTCACCCAGGCCACCAAATTCTGAGTTTTTATTGGGGCTCCATTGCACAAGCTTGATTGATTAATTGCCCTCCTGGTTAATCTAAGACTCCAGATTAGCTGGTACCTATGAAGTGGGGTGATCCCAGGAGTAGAAAATGGCAACTCACTCCAGTAGTCTTGCCTGAAAAATTCCATGGACAGAGGCACCTGGAGGGCTACAGTCTAGGGGGTCACACAGAGTTGGACATGACTGAGCTACTTCACGTTTCAAACTTGGTTGGACTAGAAGCAAACTTGTCTTAATTTATGACTTTGATATGTTTTTCATAATTTAAATCAAAATCAGTAAATTGATGGATATGGATTGAACAAAAATTTTCCATTTTGACTAAGCAATTAAAACAAGGTGTTGGCAGGGGAAGAGTGGGCAATTGTGCAGAGATTTTCTAAGAATAAGGTTAATATAAAGAAAGTAAAATTAAGAGTGGCAAACCACTTGGTCCTGTACACAGCATTTGAGCTCCTCTGTCAAGCAGTACCAGAAACAAGCACACTCCGGGACTTTCATGAGTCAATGAAATCTTTTTCAGTTTCTTCACTTAGAATAAAAAAGCCCTAATATATTGCTAGGAGAATTAAAATAGATTACAGGCTAGGACCTAGGTTACTTTTAAAATACAAATTCTTAGGGAATAGGGACTTCAGTCTGTCTTGTTCACCACTGTCTTGTGGCTCCAATCCCTACAAAATTTCTGGCAAGTTGGAGGCACTCAATAGATAATTTGTTCAGTTCAGTTGCTCAGTTGTGTCCAACTCTTTGCGACCCCATGAACCGCAGCACGCCAGAACTCCCTGTCCATCACCAACTGCTGGACTCCACCCAAACCCATGTCCATCGAGTCAATGATGCCACCCAACCATCTCATCTTCTGTCGTCCCCTTCTCCTCCTGCCCTCAATCTTTCCCAGCATCAGGGTCTTTTCCAATGAGTCAGCTCTTCGCATCAGGTGGCCAAAGTATTGGAGTTTCAGCTTCAATATCAGTCCTTCCAATGAACACCCAGGACTGATCTCCTTCAGGATGGACTGGTTGGATCTCCTTGCAGTCCAAGGGACTCTCAAAGAGTCTTCTCCAACACCACAGTTCAAAAGCATCAATTCTTCGGCACTCAGCTTTCTTTATAGTCCAACTCTCACATCCATACATGACCACTGGAAAAACCATAGCCTTGACTAGACGGACCTTTGTTGACAAATGTCTCTGCTTTTTAATATGCTATCTAGGTTGGTCATAACTTTCCTTCTGAGGAGTAAGCGTCTTTTAATTTCATTGCTGCAGTCACCATCTGCAGTGACTTTGGAGCCCAGAAAAATAAAGTCTGCCACTGTTTGCACTGTTTCCTCATCTATCTGCCATGAAGTGATGGGACCGGATGCCATGATCTTAGTTTTCTGAATGTTGAGCTTTAAGCCAACTTTTTCACTCTCCTCTTTCACTTTAATCAAGAGGCTATTTAGTTCTTCCTCACTTTCTGCCATAAGGGTGGTGTCATCTGCATATCTGAGGTTATTGATATTTCTCCCAGAAATCTTGTTTCCAGCTTGTGCTTCCTCCAGCCCAACGTTTGTAAAATAAAATAATAGATGTCCAAAAAATATAATTCAAAAAGACACATGTACCTCAATGTTCATAGCAGCACTATTTACAATAGTGAAGACATGGAAACAGCCTAAATGTCCAACAACAGATGAAT